GAACTGATCAAACCTCTGGTAAATGGAATTTATGAAAATGTTTCCTCTAATCCACATCTATATCATTCTCTAGAAGGTTTCCTGGATATGCTCAATGAACACTACAGAAATATCAAAGAGATTATGTTTATTCAAATGAAGGAGTCAGAGGTAGAAATCATTGAACCTAAACCAACACCGAAGGTTGAAAAGGTAATTAATCCAGTTTGGACTTTTATACTTCGTTTCTTGTGAACTATATGTCTTAACTTTGTCTTTTCTATATCTATATTATGATTATTTCTTTTCATCTCTAGGTTATACTTTCAGGAAGATCTCTAAACATGGCGGCTTTGTCTGTTTGGAATCGTATCTACAATCGTTTGCATGGATTTGATTCGTTTTTACCTACTGCTAACACCGATCAATCAATGTCCATCAGTGCTCAAATAGATGCTTGCATTCATGAAGCCACTAGTGTTGATAATCTTGCTCTCATGTATGAAGGATGGACGGCATGGGTATGAATTTCTCCAAGTGATTCACTAATATGCTGCAATTTACACTACAAAGTTACTTTTTAATTGCTCGATCTCGAGGATCTCGTGGTAAATGGATTGATCAATTAGTACCTCTAGGTAGCTTGAGGAAATCATACCCATAATATCCATCATTTACACGCGAGAAAAACAATCAACATGCCTATTTCTTTTGATGAATAGTTGGTAAGTCTACTTTTATCAAATGTATGTTAGACAATTTAATATACTATATATATATTCTGTTGGTGGGTTTATTTGTTTTGACGTCTCGGAATTAGCAACACTGAAGATGGTCATTGTTTATATGATATCCTCTCATTGTAATATAACTTCCAGGTAGTTCATAATATAATTGACCAGTTCAACCTAATTTATTGAACTGGCTTCCTTATACATTTTTAAGATTATCGATGCAATAATTATATATAACCAAGCTGTATAATCCAGGCCACACTGTCTGTTGCCTTGCGATGATATTCATTCCTACATTAACTGTCTATAAAAAGCATAGGTCAGTGTGATTTGTACTTTCTGTCCATATTTATAAAGTCTGGATATTTACTTTTCTTGCCAGTGATAACATTAAATTAATCCGTCCTTAGTGGTGATAAAGTAAAAGTTTTTACTGACATTTGTTGAAATAGATACATTTTTTCAGCGTATTTTGTTTTGTAAGGTAACGGTTGATCTACGGAAATGACATGAAACCTTAATATTGCACATACACATTGGGTCAAATCTAGTTTAATGCTCCTAGAGCAAAAATTTCAAGATATCTTTCACCCTTCCTCAACTCAGAAACATTTAGCATCACATATACCTGATAACTTACTCTCTTGCTAGTTTGCTCTATGGTGTCATGTTTGACCCACCGGTCACCATGAGAGTAACGCGATCCTAATGGAGTTCAGTTTATGGTGGCATACTTATCTAGAGAGGTCTTATTTAACGTATTTGTACATAAAACAGGTAAATAGATCTTTTTGACATATTTAATTTACTGCACTAATCACTTGGATTTTCCGTTTGCTTTTAGCTCCGACTGACGGACTAATTAATGGTTGTAATTGTGGACTATCATTGCCAACCACTTTATCAGTACACACTACTTAAGGTCAACGTGCTTACTGTTTCAGCTAAACTCTCTTGTTCAACATCCGTAAAAACTTACGAAATTATGTTCTTATGATTTCAGCTATACAACCATAAATGTTTTGTTTTCTGTTGACTAAATCACAAATTGTAATTCGTTTTGTATACGCAGTTTCATTGTCATCATCACTTATTACGTACCTACTGTCTTTTTATGTATTCTCTATTCACCATTGTCATTATTTACTCGTGTTCATTGTTATGTTTTTATTTTTTCTTACTTCATAAACAGTATTGTGTCAAAGCTTTACCTGGTTTGTTTTCGGTTCTTTCGAATCCAAAAAAATTAAGGTTAATGGGGCATAGCTTTACAGTTCAAATGAATGTTAATATTGCCTATCCATTTTATAGTGGACCTGAATATCGAAATATCTAATTATGAAATTAATTTAGTGTTCGAAAGGCAACCGCTACCTTATTGACGGAGACAACTGAAAAGCTGTAAAACTACATGACTTCAACTAGTTTTATTACTACTGGGATATAAGGATTCCACGTTGACTGAATAATTCAGTTGTCGATACTCTAGAGTTATTAACTTAACGATCCCGGAACTTGTTACTAAAACATTATATAAGAATAATCGCTAATTACCGAGTCAGCTTGATAAAATACTATTTCATACTTACCATATATTTTAATTACGCTTTGGAGGATTACAGTTTGGTTATATTTGAAATCTATAAAAGTTGGTGAATGTGTTCTCCACTACTTGAAATACATTACAGTCTATCCCATTGAACTGGAGTTTTGTTGTAATTAAAAACTAAAAGGAAAGTGACAATAAGCAGACTTACAATAGTGTTTTTCTAACGTCGGGAGTTTGTGACTAAATTGGGCTATTATTCTTTGAAAAATGGAATTTTCTGACTCATTTTCAGATGACCTATGTAGATCCATGTCGATTGATTGCTAATGTAGATTGCTGACTTTCCCCGTTGATTGTCATACACCCACCATAATGGTTGGTTGTTCATAGTGTTAAAATCTTAATAAACTAGTTGTGGCGGGGTTCAAGTTAATAATCCATATGCTCATTCCTTTGATTAAGTTTGTCAAAGTTCATTTGTAACAAATGAAAACTATCTGTGCGTGGGGAATACAAACCACACAGTGAACGGATTCAAAAGGACAGGATTTCGTCAGCCCATTGTTAATCGTTTTAATTAACCAAATTATACCAATAGAGTACTGTAAATTGTGCAATTACAGAATTCATGAAGGTGTTAGCTTGTAGTGAGGCATATATATTTGGTGCCCTCTTGTACCAATATTTATGCGTTCAAAAAAAACAAGAGCTTGTAGTGCCTGGTGCTATGTCAAGCCCACATAGGTTATTCTGGCTTCTGGACAGACCGATTTATTTTCCCCAAGTTACGTTTTGATCTTGCTCATTATTCACTTATTAACCCTGACTGATTTTACATGATCGTGTGTACGTGTATCTACTATCTTCGAAGGGATTACGAAATTACCTAAAAATTAGCGAACGGAACGAAGGTTCAGCGAGAAGATAGCTAAACTATTCCAATGTGTCCCAGCCCGGTTAAATAGAGGGAGAAGTCGAGGTCAAGATTAGGGAAAGTATATTGCGTAAGCAGCCAGAAGCACACAACCCAAGCGTATATGTGCTGCACAAAATGGCGTAATAAAAGTGGCAACCAACCAATGACACTTAGGGTCCTTTCAAACGGGAAATACAATCAGGATAAGGATGGGTGCGGGAATGAGAAATTCAAATTACAGAAACATGACGTTTACCAAGTAATTTCTGGGGATCTAGCATTCCCAGCAGTATCGCTTACTCTATTCGTCACATGTCTGTAACTTATTTTTGTCTGACTGTGAATATTGAGTCACACTTGATTAAATCGTATTGACTCATTCGCCACTACTGCGCGTTATTTCGCTTCGCTCTCTCTTCCCTGATTGTCTGTCCAGATCAACGATTGTGTGAAATATATGTATTCGAAATTCACTTTCGTATTTGACTGATTTAATTCTGTTATTCACTAATGCGAGTTATGCCGACGATTATATATGAGGGTAACCAAGATGTATATTTCGATAATACGACCCAATCGGAGTCAGATTTCGGGCGATAGATAGTTCATATTAACTGAAATTGAGCACACTTGATTCGATTGTGTTTAATTAGCTTCTTCTGTATGTCTTTTAACATGTTTCACACCAACATTTGTTGTTTGAGGAAGAAATGATACTGTGTCTTTTGTAGTTGTTAAAAAGGCATCAATAATGTTATGATGATTTGTGAAGTCTCAGTTGCCCAATTCCGATATTCTCAAAAGTATAGTTAATATCACTGATGAAATGATTGGCGCCATATTTTAAGAGTGAATGAAAACTGTCACCAATAAATCTCTAAGAGCCAATATTTCGTAATATGCTTTTTCAAGTTTTACACCCAATAGTTTATAGATTTTGTTGAATAGTAATACACAAAGGATTTTATTTTGGTTCAAAAGAACAAGACATTAAGTTGATATATTTGATAGAAAAAATTTAAAAAATAGCCTATAGATAAACATTTCTATAGAAACAATAATAAGCTTGCTGACAAGGGGATCTGTTCAGGAACAATTACATAAGGTTTCGGTTGGGACCGTTGACTGGTGTTGGTAGATGGAATCGGTAGCGAAGTAGTCGGAAGAAATCGTCTCGAGACCTAAAGGTTCGGAGTTTTATACAGCTCAGGGCTCTAGATAATCACCCTTAAAGTATTTCACTCTAGGATGGGAATTCGCTTAATTCCTCTTGACTCACTCAAGTCAATTCACAACAACTCGAAACACTCCAGTCAGATAATTTCGATTTTATTATATCCTTATAACAAACAGAACTACAACTTAGATGTTTACTTAGTTCCTACAATCGATAAATCCATCTTGTTGTTGTAAGTAGTTTTAAGAATAAAATGTCCAATTTTTTTAATAATAAAAGCACATGTAATTCTTAGCATTTTAAAGAAAAATAAATCATTATAAAAGTGCTTATCAGGAATAAAAATGTCCACGTTGTGGGAATTCTTCAATTCGATTGGGAAAAAGAAAGTCAATTTAATGTAATTGGTGGAAAAATGATAATTTCAAATATATATATATATATATATATATATATATATATATATATATATATATATATATATGAATTTAACTATCATGTATTATTTAATAAGTCAAATAACGGGAAAAGGCGATGTGATGGTTGTGTTTTTCTGTATTCCTTCCAAAAAATCACAATCTAGTAATGATATGGTAATGAATTACCAAATAATGTATATTCCTCAAAAAAGAACTCATCAGTTTTTTACTCGTTCTTCTGAATCTTGAAATTCTTCTGGTATTTCTAATTCGATGTTATATGGTACTGAAACAACAACCGCAATGAGAATAGTAGTAATGTATATGAAGAAAAATAAACGATCTAAAACAATTGCTAAAGTACGCCATTCCATAGCTATTAAACTTTTATGAGTTGTTTCTTTCTGTCGATTAACTACTATTTTAACATATTTTTTCAGTTCCCTAACATCACGTTCAAGTGTAGTGGTTGAATTAAAACTTTCTGATTCATCATAGTTTATCATTCTGAATGGATAATTATTCATATCATTATCATTATGCATAATTTGCTGTAAAATTTCCGGTATTCGATGATTAAGTTTGATTGACGTTTTCATCATATGTGGACAGGATTTCCCAGAATATTCTTTAAGTGTTTGAAATTCATTTGAACCAGACCAGTTAGTGGTGACATTTTCGAAATATTGATCTCCACAAGCAGGTTGATTGACTGATTCACTACATTGCGGGAAAAATCCACCCCCAAAATATCTGTTTTGTTCATTTTTACATCTGTTTTGATAAGCCTGTTTGGTTTTAGCAGGAGATATTTGGGAGATTAGAGTCTTTCTGTGATATTTTGCAAAAACATTCCTTTTTGAATTCTTTACATCTGGCAATGGGATTCTTTGTCTTACTAATGTTAGTCTCCCAATCCCTTCTATTATAATCTAAAAATGAATAAGTAATGGATAAGTAGTTCAAATAAAGCTTTATGCAAATTCATGAAGGGAACTAGTTGCATGAAACTTTGTTTATTTCATTCGCTCATATTTTTATATCATGTTCTTTTCAATATCTCCTTTAAACATCCAAAGCCTAAATATTATGAAACTTAAACAGCAAAAATTGCAAGGTTTGTAGAATGAAATGAATCCATTCTATAACAAATTCTTATCAGCTTCATACAGTCTGAAATAAATTCATTTTATTCTTCAAACCTTGCTGTTGTTGCTCTGTCTAAATTTATTGAAGGATCTGATCGTGTGAAATCCTGTGAAATTATTCACTGGAAACTGGACTAATGTTCTAATTATATCATACTTCCCCCAATCCATATTTAGTTGTAAATAGTATGTAAATTATCTTTGAGTTGCTTATTTATTAATACAAATATCTAAAATAATTATCGATTTTACTTTCACTATTTTGATAACTAGTCAGAAATCAAACATTTATCATCCCTTGGTTTAGGAGGTTTGTGGAGCTTGATTTATGTAGATTCCTAATGGAACCCACGAAACAAATGAAATCAACCTCATTGAAATATAGGATTCCTCAAAAGTACGTATTTACGTCCCCATTGGGGAATGAATTCAAGACCTCGAATCCTTGATTTGCTATAAATTACGAGGTGAACAGTTTCAACAAGTCTTTCTTACTTGTAAATATTAATTGAGCATTGGAAATAAAATTTTGGAGTTCTAATAAGAGTCCTTGAATAATCAAGTTCAGCAATGACGAGATCGAGACATTTATCGCCTATAATTTTGAGATTTTTTGTTAATTGACAAGTGGAATATATGGACCACTTTATGCTGCTTAATGAATCGATAGTAACATGCTTCCCGCTTAGCCTAGCAGTACTGGGATGAAATCTTGTTAGGAAACTAATAGCTTTCTAGCGTTTCTTAGATTTTAATTGGTGTATAACTAACTTCAACTCGTGATGCAAAGTATCTTTATATTGATCAATTAAAAAACATTGTTATTATTAACTGGTTTTTTGATTCATTTTCTGTACTGAATACATACGGAACAAAAGTGTACTTCACTTACAAAATAGAAATGAATTATTACTTACTCTTAACTTTCTGTCCGTTGGTATTGAAAAAGTAATAAACAGCTTAGTAGAAATGGAACTAACTTTACAAAAAACAATGAGAATATTCAACGGAAAAATTAAATGAAATGTAGAATATAAGTTTACATGTTAATCAGATTGGTTTTATTTTACTGAAATATGTATCCCTTTTAATGTCATTTTTGAATGAATGATGCATTAAATCATATAGATGTATAAAACACAACACTTACTCGACGTAGAAAATATGGTACTGCACCTTTACGATCACCACGAAAATAAAGATGGATTACCATGGTGGCTAAAAATGTTGATAAAGTGATCATGATCATATTTAAACAGAAAAATACACCTACAATGGAATAAATAACATTAAATTTATGTAATAATTCTAATTCAATCACAGATTTTTCAATAATCTCTTGATATCTAAAAGTGTAGATTTTACAAGAGTTCCAGTTGTTCGATTAGACAATTTATGTTAATGACAACAGATTAGTAGAACTAATTATAAGAAAAATAATATCATTATAGATTATTTGATTTATATTAGTTTTATGAATCTAAATTCAATCATTATTTTATTTTCAAGTAAAATATCATATATCTTTTCAAAAAAATATCAAAATTATTTAAGTTTACTACTTAAATAACGAACTCCGTCTATAACTCTTCTAGAGTTACTGCCGGTTCCAAGCCCAGGTAAAGGAGGAGGGTTGAGCATAGGATCGTCAACCCTATCTCGTAGAAAAAAATCTTACCAAAAAAAAACGCCAACCAGATTAAACAAATTAAACTTAAATAACAAATAAAGATGGAATTAGTATAGGATTTTCTAAAGAAAATTTTGTTTTTTCTTCATTTGGCTATGTTAAACATACTGTTTAATTTAAATTGACTTTATCTAAATGAAGTTAATTGCACACACAGATATTATAGTTAAATTATAACAAAATATAATGCTTTTCATTTTAAACCGTTCAACAATAAACAAATTGAACATTATGAATATTTAATATCTCATTAAACTATAAAGAAGATAATGAATCTATTCATATCTGAAATTAATATGTATCACTTCAATAATAACAATTTGGAATTGTATATACAAACCAGTTAAGAAATATTTAAGAAACTATAATAAGCTAAATTGAACTTGATTATAGTCAGTTTCTAAGTCACTATATGTTGATGATTACAAAATCGTCTGGACTTTCAATAATTAAGATTGATTACTGTTCCTTTTCATCTATCATTGAACAATATTGATTTATAATGTGGTAACAAATTGAGAGTTAAAGTTTTTAAAAAGTAATGAAGATATACTACTAAATGATACAGTGAATTTAAGTCAACTAAACAGAATTATTTAACTTTAAAACTTCAATGAGGTATAAAAGGTAAAAGTAAATGAATATTGGTAGAACGAATCAATGATTTCGTTGTATTATTGAAATTACTTACCGATCAATGGAAAATTTTTCACGGCACTTGGTGTAGACTCAGCAAGTAGTAATAATAAGACAAAAAAAGCCACAAATATATTCATTCCTACAAAGAAATTAATCATTGTACATGAAAAATATATTGGTAAAACTTAATAAAAATCATTTCACTTTATTTTACCTTAGATTGTTAATATTAAGTAGTGCTTTATCACATCCCCTGCCCAAGATCAAACTGAAAATCAAGTCTATTATCAAGCATTACTGTCTCGTTTAGTTTCACCCAGTTTAATATCTAACAAAATCATCACTCGAAGAAATCATTCACTGATAGGTATTGAGATGTACTCTACATTTGAATAGTTCGCAAGAATACTAGCAAAGCAAAAATAATTTTCATTATAGATCAACATTGCATGAACAGCCAAAAGCGACACTAAAGTCAATAAAGTTCACTAAAATGATTAAACAAACATGAATTGATTTTTGATTCTTTTCATTCACCAGATGGCTGAAATAACTCACATCCAATAGTATCCAACATCCATTTTTTATAGAGATATTATTTTTTCGTTAAGGTCACATTTTATTATTTTTAATTTAATACTAGTATGTTGAAAGTTCTACTAAGAACCACCACAAGCTCCATTCACATTATAATATCAGTATATAAAACACTGTTTAGTTTTAAAATACATTTATGCGAATCAGAAATCAGCATTTTAGCTTTGTATTATATACCAGAATTAAAAGTCAGATGAGTGCTGCACTTAAAAGTTATCCTCACACTAAAAAACTATTGTTTTTCCTTTTGTTAACTCACAAACTTATCTATGTTGTGTTCTGAACAATTACTATTATTATTATTATTATCATCATCAGCTTTATTCAATATTATATCTTTGGTACAATACAGAATTCTCAGCGCAAAGTATTTCAACAAGTTTCCGTTTCTTTCTTCTTGATCGGTCCTGGCGATAAATATTGAGTGATCGCCAGTTAGATGTTAGCAGTTCACTAAATGAACATCTGAATAATGTACATTCTTTTCGTTGTATATTGCGAGCAACCGCATTGTCTCTTATTGAGTTTTTTGTAACTTTGACATACAAAAGTTGTACACTTTTCAGAAACGCAGCAGAATAGGTTATGCGATTAATAAACGTAATTATATATTAAAACAAACAAAAATAGATAACTTGTTGAAATATCTAGATGGCAGGAACAGGTAGCCCAGATGCTCAAGCAGGCCGCCATTTACATAAGTAGTATCTAAAAATGATCAAATTGTACTATTTAATTTCATATTTCTCCTATTGACAAATCTGACCAAAGAACAATAAATATAACAGAATAACATGAACTCATTTTATTTTATGGTTTCTTATCAACCGTACTTCTCAAACAGATGTTAGATTTATCAGCCCTTTATTTAAAGTAACAGTAACATGTACAGCGGAATCTTATAATCTAAAGTATTTAAGACATCTAGAGCAGTTTTATCTGTTTCGGCCCATAAATTACTCGTCAGTCCAAGAAACTTCATTTTACTACCACCATACACAGACAACTATGTCTTTTGACATTTATGATTTTTGAATTATGAATAAAATATGCTGATAAAAGGAATTTTAGTTTCTTAATTGTTCAGAATTATTGGATTCTATACATATCCCCCCATATCAATTACTATCAAACTAAATTTCATTATTTTTTCCAAATAAAAATAGATTTTAGGACTATGTAGAAACTTTCGACATTTATTTAAGTAGATGCTTTCTGCGGTACAAAAATAAAATGTTTGTGAATTATTTTGAATTAGGAAAATAGCTAGGCTTTAGCCGTGAGAAGCTAAAAATGGTAAACTAATTTTTCTTTGAAGAAGTTCCATTATCCATAGGAAAGTTTATTACATTTAATTTAAAAAATTGATAGTTAGTCAAGTAAATACATGGTATGGAGATGTGTACATCATTCTTAAAGAGATGTACCGTTCTTAGTGTGTTTTTTTTGGGGGGGGGAAAGCTATAGAAACCTACTTAGATTAACTTCCAGTCTTGGTCATGAAAATAATAATGAAAAGACTCAGTAACTGTTCAATAATCAGATAATATTTATGAATAACTTTAAAATTAAATTGCAAAATGATGATGTAATGTTAAGTGAAAATTCTATTCTTGTTAATATGTTTAAAACACCTGTTAAGCTGTTTATATACACCTGACAACAACAAACAACTTTATTACCAGTAATAAATTTAAACAAAATTTTTTAATGAAAACTTTAGAGAGTAATTTATACTAGAAGTGTCAAAAATTTATCGCTTTATGATCACTTATTGATCAAACTGAACATAAAAGTGCAAAACACAAAGTATTGCTGTGATTAGAATGAAGTTTCAGAATGTGCATAGCTTCTTATAAACAGATCTCTGTTGTGAGACTGTTGATTTATATTATCTCAGGTATACTTAGTAGTATAAATAAACTTTCATAGACCGACTTTGACAAGATTTTTGAATTACATTAAATAAACATTCGATTGAACAGTACACCCTTAGCCAAGATATTCAGCTGTCATATCCTAGTTATATATTTCCACCCACTAGTGACTGGCTAAAAGATGAGTTCCCGAGGTTGTAACCGACATGTTTCGGCTATGATGGGATTGATAAAGTTGTTACTGATAGAATTGGATAACATTCCGGTTACATCGTGAATTCGTTGAAGTTGAGAACGTAGACCGTTAGGTATCTGCGAAAAGGTTGAAATTCAACGCACTTTCGACGGTGGCCGAATGTCCTGTGTTTGATGAAACAGCCGTTCATTTCTGTTTGATCCGTTTAGCCTTTCACATTTCCGGTCCGTTAAACGTCTTAAAAAAGTCTGTACACATATTTTCCCAGTAAACTTTCAAACATCATCAGCATAAATAATATAAATGGATGATTATTTTCACTTAAAACACGGTATTAATTAATAATTAACTTTTAAATCCTTTAGTATGACGTTCTTCATAACAGTCCTTGAATAATGTTCTCGTTATTCGCAATCCCCAAAATGTTCTGAAATGATAATTCTATGTATTTATAAATAATTGATCAAAAATGAAATTAATGGCACACTTTTTGAGAGCATATTTTTCACACCATATGATGAGCAAATAGTCATTATCTTAAATCAAACATCGGCCAAACTGTTACTTGGTAATATTATCATTTATTTGCATTTATAATTTGCAAAGGAAAATGGATAAAACTTTGAAGATCTCAGTGAATGAAATCATTTTAATTTAAAATAAACGTAGATTAGTTTTAAGGTTACTCAATTGGTTATGGTAGCACAAAATGTTATTTTAAAAGGGTGCTCCAAACAACAAAAATTTGACTCAAATACAAAATATTTTGGAGAAAGGACTGGTATATTAAGTTAAATTTCGAAAAGTAAATATCTAAAGTTTGCTCAGTACTGATTTTATCTTCTATAGGGATCAGCAAAGCACTAATAAAATGCTTGTCCTTTTTAGATTATGTTATAGGCAATCTGCCGAATGCATATATTTCAGTCTCTCTAGGTAATTCAGTAAAGTATTTCGGATTACCAATCCAAATATTGCTATTTCAAATCCCTTAAAAAATATATATTTAATTTTTTTGAACTCCAAATAATACACATTTGTCCAAAAGGCTACTCACCGACTTTTATATATCATCTACCATTATGCTTTTTCTTTATCGTAATAGTAGTAAGTTATTGTCAAATCACATTTTTAAGTTCCTGAACGATCAGCAAACTGTTTTTTAAACAACTTAGATCAAATGTACCTGATTTAATCAGCCGATACCAGTTTCTGTGTTCGTTTAATTATTGCTATTTTTAATATAGTCCCATTCTAATCATAAGTCAAGATAGCTAACTAGTTATTACATGTAAACAATGCTTGAAATAAAATTTACATTTCTCTAATTAAAATATGTTTACTAGATCACAGTTTTTTCAAAGATTGATACCATTTATTTAAATGTTTCTATATTAATCCTACATTTTCGGGTTCTCGTAAACATTTACTTTACTGTGTAGACAAGATAATGCCCCTCTTATTCATTATGGTGAAAAACTCAGATGGGATTTCTAAAACTAAATATCACAACATTTATAAACAATATGAGCGCTAAATGTACTAAAGAAATATTTACCATATTAAACATAGATTATGAATGCTGAAAATGAATTAAAACTTAGATGGTTTACGGGAATATAGAAATCAATTAATCTAGAATGTGGGGTATGTGAAGGATATTTAGGTACATTTTTTGGTTATTTCCTACAAAACACTCAGTAGTTGATATATACTTATCATCAATGGAAGTAGTTTTACAAAGTCGTGAATGTAATTCGATGCTAAAGTTTGGAAAAAATACTTTTACAGCCTACATAAATATTTTTAGTGATGTCAGATTCTCTATAGAGATTTTCAGTATTAATTTAAAACAAGTTTGATCGATGTGAATATGTACAGAAATGTTGAACCCATTTTTCCGGATGAAACTGATAGTGTTTAGTCACTTTTAGAAGCCTTGTTATTTCCTTATAAGGTTTCGTTTTTGACAATAGTTCATTTTAAAAGTTGGCTTTAAAACATATAAACAAATAACGATTTTCTTATCAACCAAAAACATTTGTTTATCTAAATATGCTTTGTAATTTCAAACTGATTCGAGGTCTAAGCTTTTATAATTTATTCAGAGTGTGTTTCTTCCAAACATTTTCGAATGAACTTCTTTTGATTTGCATTAAATCACTTTTACAGTCCGAATTCGGTTGTTCTTACTCTTAGACTTTGACGAATAACAAAGTTGTTATTGTATAAGCAGTGGACACTATTCCCAACACACTATTTATCACTTATAAGACTTTTAAATATGTGACTAGAACATAGTCATTTTACTGTTTTCAAAAAAATATAAACTTAGGTCAGATTTCAATGTAACTTATAATACTAAGATTATTTCGCATACATAAGTATTCATTCACTTATTTTACTTAAGTGAAGATCTGAAATGCATCAATGTCTTGACTATTTACTAATCTTGATGTAATCAATAATTTTGTGCTCAGTGTAGACATATGGTGCTCATATTCATTTAACTATTTTGGTTAATAAATCCAATAATTTTCTAATAATAGTGATCTATTTCTGGTTTATGATTATGATAGTCAATCTACTAATGTAGAAAAATACTTAAATCATTTCATTTTCTGAAAATATGATCATCTGATCACCTTCAATTGTGAAGAAAGTTTGATGAAGCTAAATTAGTTAATTAATTCTTCAATAATTAGCTTTAATAAGGTAATGTTAGTTAAATTTATTAGCATACCTTCTGTACCAATAAACTACAGAAAATATAGAAAAATATGAAATATTTCAGTCAAAATTGTTGGTGTACATTACACTTAAGGACTCAAACATCTACAGCTTATTAACCACAAATTTATTTGATTTGCAATTTGAGTTGATATATGAAAGTTAATATTTAGTCGCTTCATTAGCCTTATAACTTGGACAAAACTAACAATTCTAAGATGCTGTTTCTCAGCTCGTGATTGAATATCCGTAGGTAAATAATCCTCAAGGGATTTGAAATAGCGGTATGTAGATTTGTAAATATATATATTAGTTAATTAGTTGGTTTTCGCATTTTTTTTCTCAACAGGACTATCTTACATGCATTTAAAAATAATTTCTAAATCGTTTATAAATTTCATAAAGATTAAAGCTGAAATCTAATGAAAGCTAAACATTTTCTCGGTCTCATTTTTTAACAATTTGTTAATTTTCTCATATATGACTCATTTTAGTTTATCCAAAGAAGCATCTCAGATAAGAACTACTTAGAATTGAAAATCCCACTGAAAAAGTAATAACACTGATGATTTCCCAACGCTGAATAAAATGATTGTAAACTGCTACTCAAAAAATAAGACACCTTTAAACAAGGTGAGTATCGATGTTTTTTGATGAAGTCTTTTATGAAGGCTGGAGTAGATAGAGGAGCAAATTGTTGAAAACGTTTTGCGTAAGCCACCTGCGTGTTTTTTTTAATACGGGAGGCTCTGTTTCGAAGTTGATTATTTTGCAATGCAACGCTACAGAATAACCGTATTACTGCAGTTTCGACCGGTATTTATCTACCGAGTGGTAAAAAATGTTGGAGGAGCTAAGTGTTATTGGGTAGGTTTAAAAGTGACACATCCTTTTATTTAACTACGGTGTATATAACCAAAAACTGTGAATTATGTACACCGTATTTTCCTCAAAAGGATCTTAAAAAGCATGTGACTCCTAAATAAAGTTAACTTGATATGACGCGTATCCTCAAAATTAACTTCATTGTCATTCAGCGAGTAATAGCGATATCTGTTGCTCCAGCTCAAGCTACACTTATTGAAGTAAACACATTTATGAATATCTTACAAAATAAATGTTCAGCTTCTACATATATACACAAATGTGGAAGTAAGCTGAGAACTTGCTTCGCTTTAGTTGTTATAGAATCTTGATGTTGTACGAATAAGGTTACGAGTCATTTACATTCCGACGGATATTTATTACTGTTGCTTATTAAAAGCTGACCAACTTACAGTCAGTAATTGTAACCATCAGTAAATTGGCCGTGAACTCAAACTTGTAAGTGAATATAATTCTGATAACTGAACCACCATTTTAGGGGAAATATTGTTTCCCTTATGAATTATGTTAATGTGTTCATTCTTTTGGGAAATTATATGCATGTAATTAAGTGCACTTACCAAGCATCATTTTTGCTGGAGATTCTGGAGGCAACCAAAATACAACCAATGTTAAAGATGATAACAACACACATGGAATCACTAACATGAATACATAAAAACTCGGGTTCCTTCTCAAACGTATTAAATATCGTAAAACTGGATATTCTCTTGTGATCACTTCGTTACCAACAGTTTGACTTCGACGTCGATGTTTCTTAACTGATCGAATTTGTATAGTACGGTTGACATGGTGTACTTCACGTTCTTTCTCACCATCCGTACGCCATTCATTACTTGGTACGTAATCTGAGAAATCTAAATATGGCATTTCTTCTATGGGAGGTGAATCTGGAATCCACCATAATATGTCCATTTGAGTTCTATCATACGTTAGGGATCCGAATTCTAACATGCATATCTATATTAATAAGAAAGAGTTATTGTTTAAATAGATAAACGGTAATATTTTTTAATGTGACAGTAAATAATCCAATAAAACTATCGTAACCACATATCAATTATATCTTGCTACATGTGCTTAACTAGTCCTATTTTGGTACTATTCCATATTTCAACCTCTTATTAATTATTAATTAGTTATCCTCCAAGCTCACATTGATCAGGAAATATAAAAATCCAGTCATGATAAATTTCTTTTTCGTATTTGCTCAGACACGAAATAACGAGCAGTTATTGAAAGTCATCGGACCAAGGTAAAAACATAATAATATCCAAATATGAATTCCCAAGTCCCCTCACTCACACATGAATCAATATCGTTACGACTAGCTTGAAGTTTATATTTAGAAAATCAATAGAGTGACTATTTAACCACGATATGTATAGAGATGAATAACTTGACGATGACCACAGATAAAAATTTATCACTTCAGCATAAAATTTATAAAAAGAAATTATTTTGTGCTATTCTTTTATTATTATTTTATATCTCATTTTATTGATCAGAAGTTATTATTAATTAGAAAGACATCTCAGATAAAATTTATTTAATCAAAGGTATGAAACATTCTTTCCAAACAAAATCAAAATTATTCTTATACGTATAAAATAAGTTTGAAGATGTCACTCTAAGTTTCTTAAGACTCTTTCAGTTTGTATTTCACTTCAAACAAGAGTGATATCTATAATCATTCTTAAGAGTTAATGTTTTCTTATTAGTTATATCGAAGACTGGATTCTGATCCATTTGTCTACAATTAAGAAATGTCTAATTTGTAGACTAGTGCAAAAAAGATGAAGTGACCCGGAGTATCATGACTTCATTTAAACTTAAATTATTAAAAATAAAAATCCTAATATACGATGACAAATGATATTTAATAGGATCCCCCCAAAAAAACTGCTTTTTATCAAATACTAATTTCAATTGACTTATTGTCAAAATGAAGTTTAATGTAATTTAATGAAAGACACGTTTTAGCTAACTAAATAAATGAATTTCCTGTACATGGTAATAAACCATTCTAAAATCATTAAAAAGATCTACTCTATTATTTCTCAATTAAAATATTATATACATTGATTGAAATGAAAGATTTATGGTGGCAAAGCAATAAAATTAAAAAAAATTAATAAACAGCACATTTATGACATTCAAATGAGTATAACCAATATCATTCAAAACTTTCAACAGAATATTAGATCTGGGAAATTAAAAGATATGCATTGTACGAATAAATGAAGGATATTAGATATCCTGACTGTTGATTAGCATGAATAAAAGTGATAAATAAACAAAAGAAAATACCATTCTTTATTTTTTTTTAAAATTATTGTTTGAACTATTTTTGTGATATTCGTTCTTAGGTTTCATCAGTTCATCAGTTGTTAGGCCTAATTTTCAAAATAGTAATGTAACTAATTCAGATATGGTTCATTTGATCCATTCAAAGTAAATGATGCATTGACTAGAAATAAATGGAATTTGTAACTTCTACAACCAAAAAGCATTATACTTAAGCGACAGTTATAATTACTGTGACATTTTGTTACACTGACTTAGCCAAATCAAATATTTCCACAATATAATAGCACAAATTTGAATTTTATTGATAATCAGTATTACAAAAAAGTATAAATTTGATATGAATGATCAAGCATTTTTATTCAGTATTTTCCTAAGTGCTGTACACTCTGGATCTAGGATGGAGAATCTATTCAAGTGATCAACTGATGGATTTAGCTAGTTCTCATATGTTTTCTCCTTAAATTAAATAATTCAGCCGAATATATATATATATATATATATATATATATATATATTAGTGTTGGACTCCTGATTGACTTAAGTTTACGTTTAAGAACAACACATACATACGTAGAATCTTTGACTCCGATTAAAATTTTGAAGTTAATTAACTACACTTGTAAAAGAAAGAATCAAACAAGATAAATGAATTTGGAACTATGTAATGTCTAGAAAATAATAAACATCTCCCTTTTCATGTGATTTTTTAAGTTCGTGTGACTGTTTGACCTTTGTTGGCCTGTTCGAAATAATAATTTTAAAACGAGAAGTCAAGCCTCACTTTATTTAAGTTTTCCGTTTTATTTGACAATTAAATCAGAGAATTAAAGTTATCCTTATTAGATTCATCTTTATTACTTTCTTGTCAGGTTACTAATGTGAATGAGAAATGAATCAGTGTTAACTAACTCTGTCACAAAAATGAGTCTTTTCATTTCTGAGGTAAGTTATTCTGTTAATGTTAAAGTATTCAAGTACAAGTTTGTGTTGAATATCCTTTCTTCTCAGAAGGAAGTAATCGTCAAAATTTCTCATCGATCATATTAAGAGTACTATCTTACATTTTCTTTGATAAATAGTAAATAAACGATATTCATGCTGACGGTTTCGAAGTTTCAACTAACTTGTTCATGGTATAATTCATAAATCTAATTGATCAGGGCTATGTTTTTGAAAAAAATAATTGTTTTCTCACACAAACAAACAACTTTTTTATTTTTAAACTATTTAAACTTGATAATGGAAGTAAATTTATTAACAAATAAGTAGACTCTATGTACCAATAATAGTTACATGGTAGAAATGATTTATCATAGTTTATTTTGTCTGTAAAAAATCAATGTCTATAACCTTCATATGTTGTTTTTTGAGTTTAATCACGGAGCTAATGCTGCAAGTTATGACAACGGAATACATGGATGGTATCCACATGGAATTCTCAATGTATCATAAAAAAAATCAATGCTTATTGTTCAAAGAAAGACCAATAATTGATATCAAGTGATTCGTATTGGCCAGCAGGAAATCCTAAATCGCGTCTCAAACTGTGAAACTTTGTGGCACGAGTTAGAACACCACGGGAAGCATTAATTCTCTGGAGATTATGAGTGAGATTTACTGACAAGTTCCAACTGATAATAATCCTATACCCTGGGTTCCTTACAGTCTATGTTCAACTACTTTACATTAAAGCGCCGTGCATATGATGTTGATTGACTCATATTAGTATTGTTGCACATAACGTGATAGAATTTGAACAAAATTGGACAACTATGCCCTTGGTCACTCAGTACCCAAACAGCAATCGATATAACTCCTTAAGTGCTTATAGACACAATATGAGAGGATTAACAACAAACAAATTACTGGGTGAATTAGAAAATAGCTAACCTGTGTGTCAAATGGGAAATATGTGATCTCAACTTCACATGTACTTTTAAATAATGCTTGTGGAAGCCATAGTGTTTCTCCATTACTTGAGACCACAACACGAGCGTCTCTATATTCGCGTAAGCGTTCATCAGCACTAAAAAGATCACAGATAAATATATAAGGCTTGATAAGAATGAATCTACGCTAGTGTATTTCCATTTGTTTCACTTAACATAAGCTAAAACATTATGTCACATTTCAAGTTCAAACTCAAACAAAATCTTTTTACTTCGTTAACGATAATTAGTCATAATGAAAAGAGCCGATTGAAAATACTATTTGCCTAGCTTGAAATCTCGGACAAGTTTAATTGTTTGCAACATATTTAAACCTTAGTTAGTCAAATAGTGAAAACCAGGAATCACTGGTAATCTGTTTCGTCCTAGTATGAGATAATTAGGCAGTGCGTATACACGACCTCGCCAACAGGAATCAAACTGTAAATCTACAGGTCTCAAGTCGACCTTTTGACCTTCAGACAATTGTGTTGTTATCCAAAGGTTTATATTCGTGAATGCAAATTATTCTAGGAATCACATTGAGTCTAGCACCAATAAACACAGAGTAGCTATTTCAGTTGAGACATAAGAAATACATATGGATATAAATTATTTATCTGAGTAAAATCTAAGACAGCATATTGAAATCACGTATTTTTCAATGAATTCTCGACTTATTAACATATAAACCAATATTCACCTGGCTATAATAATTATCTCATATTAAACAACAATAAGTATTGAAAAGAAATGCTTATTATAACAATTAGTTGAAGACCAGTAAATTCATGTTTAACACTGCAATCATCAATTAGAATTTAAATAAGTCCAATACTATAGAGAAATATATCCATTCCTATACACATTATGTAAATCTCAGCAATTTATTTATCGAATTCAAACGAAAAATTATTAGATCACATATGTGAATGATCCGAACATGATTCATCCACATGAATGAAGATAGTTTCCATGATAATATTTGTAATGTCCTGAAGCATAGAAACTGAACTTTCTCACGTATCATGACTCAGTGTAATCCACTTCTATGAAATAAATAAATAACCAAACTAAATTAACACAAGTTTATGTAACATGAAGGAATATAATAAAATATTTAAATCAATCAAAATCAAAGAATGTATAATTATATCATTATTGTCATTTAGTCAAGGTGACTCTGTTAAAGACATCACCGAGTGCATTTGTGTATATGCTGATGAATATGTAAAGTGTAAAATTGGTAATATGAAAGGTTAGAGCTAAACTTTGTGTGTTTATGTGTACGAATGGTGTGAGAAGTGAATAAAATTAAATGCAGTTGTTTGGATGAACGATTCAACTTGGATGGATTGTCAGGCTTTCCTTTCTATCAAGCCTAGAGGGATTAAACGTTATATGAAATCAATAATAAACATATCCCTCTGAGTAGTAGTAAAGATGACTTATTCAACTTTTACTTCCACCAAATTGACTTTTACGCAGTAAATTAGAAATGTAACTTAACACTTTATTAATTTAATTCTTTGGTTAAAAATGTTTCAGAAATTAAAAGCTCAATACACCACAAAAAGTCAATCATGAAACAGAAGGAGTTCCATACGGCTCTTCAGTGCTTCCAGTTTTTAAATGATGATCTAACCTAAATTGATTCATCATCTCAATGAACTCTTCAAATATCAAGCACATATTATTATGTTGATGATACTGTTTGTACCATTACATACATTCGCTAAAGACCCATCACAAGGATTCAAACAGTTATTTAGATGTTACAGTAGAGAATGTAAAGAAATCAAAATGTCAATTAGTTCACTTGCAAAACTGTTTTATATAGAAATTACATTACTCACAAATTATACAGTTTAATGTCAGGAGTCCAAATCTGTGATGGAAATATACGAACTGTTTTAATATTTCCATATTCACTTTCGTTCCAACGAAGGAGGGAATCAGTCCATTTCTAGAATAATTAACAGATACTCAAGTTATAGATGTCAAACTTATAATTCAGGTACTTAAAATATTATCAACAATATGTTACGACTTTCTGGGATTTTTCCGAACGCGTAAATCTTCAAACTAGAGAAAAGTATCTATAGAGTGAAATGATAAATAATTGTTCAGAAACACTTTGAATACAACTGTGAATTCTGACCACAAATTGTCGAATACATTTTTTCTACAACAACCTCACTATCTAAAATTTCATCTATAAGTCAACAATTCTCAATACTCTTCGTTCTGTTCATTTAATCGAAAGGTGTTGTTTAAATTGATTTTAAAGAAGTTTAATTTGGTTTTTTGTAGTTTAACAAGAGACACCCTTGTCTGTTTAAAATTTTGATATTTCTCATCAAAATAATTTAGGATTTATCAGAATGTATCTATAATTACAGAATAACAGAAAAGTCACTTAGACTTAATCGTATGCTCTGTCACTCACAAAGTTTAATTCCCGCTAGCGGGCTCGTGAATGCTCACTCTTAAGTCGTTCCATACTAGGAAGAAACGACCATCTAGTGCTTAGTGTTTTCAGTGGCTGTCTAACTTAGATCCGTGTGTAACTTTCATAAAGTACATGTCTGTCAGCAAATATAATGCCCACCACAATAAGTTATATGTCACAATGCATGAGTACTGGATTTTGAGCAGGTTTTGATCATTTAGATTGATGAAACTATTCAGATGCCCTAAACTCAACTACTGGAGATTTTTTTAAGTTGTAATTAAATGGTTGAGAGCTAATTACATTCAACAATAAACTTCTACATTTTTATTTAATTCACTGTATTCTGAATATAGGTATCGCTATCAAATATGAGCTGACTGGAGGTTAGTTCTGTTAGTTATTTATTTAGTTAATAAATATTTATCAGAATATTTCACTGATTTTTTATCAAATTTTCCGTGACACAAATTAAAATTTTATTTGACAGGACTGGCTGCGTATATGAAAAAGTCAGACACAAATACTTATGATACAGCCCTCGTCTCTTGACATATCAAATTGAGGTCACTGTAAAAAATTAGTCTCATTCTTGTTTCATAGACAATGCGATAATATCTAGAATTAGCAAGCAGACAATAGTTTTAAAGTATTCCAAATAACATATACGTTTCACTCATTATTTAATTCAAGCATTTATGAATGACACCACATCCATTTTGTGGTGAAAAGGAAAAGATTTAGTAATCCGTGAAGATAAAGGCGAAACTGTTTATTATCTCGTATGTGAATGGTTCTTCTTAAAGAGTGAGCAGCACTAGCATAAGAAAAAATACAGCGATACTGATTAACTTTACGTTGTCAATCTTAAAATATTAAAATTGTTTTAATTAACTGCTCGATCACAACCGTGATTCATGAATTACCCTAGTCATTGTACTCAACATATCTGTAAGTAGGAGCTGTTCTGATGAGGTCACTTGCAACATCTGTATGACCTTGTAGTAAAAATGTCCAGATATTTCATATCAAATATGTTTACTTATTGTAATATAAAACAACTAACGTCTTGCTCTTCGCTTTCGACTAGAAACAAATCATAAATCCATATCCCTAAATATTTTTACTTGCCCTGATAGAGCTCGTCCATAATGATCAACAATAATATCATGCTAGGACGGAAGCTTAACATATATGTACATTTCACACTATTTGACTGTCAGTTTTTTTGCTATAATATAGTTTCTGACGAGATTTTGGTTACTTTACAAAGGAAATTTAGTTTAATTTGTCAACAGTCTGATACATTACACAGGTACTATTCCCTACATGTATATAGCCTAACTTCTATATCTTTGGGTGGTTAAACAACCATATTAAGGTTTGTTTTCATATTTTGTGTCAAGTGAATAGTTCTAGTAGCAGATTTTACTGATATGAATTAATCTGTAATTTATATTATGGTACTGAAAAACACAGTATTAATGAATACATCTTTTCGTCGACTTCTCGTCATGTTTTATAATGACTGTTTGGAGAGAAAGCTATTGGAGATATTGATCAAAATAAGTTTTTTTGGTGATTGACTTTGTATGCAAAAAATGTTGATTACTACTGCTTCTTTTATGATTAGTAAGTAAATACGAATAGTATTTACTTATAAACAACTCATATATATATATATATATATATATATATATATATATATATATATATATATATATATATATATATCGCCTTACTATAATAAAAAATAATTTTATCTATCGTAGTATATCTTGACAGTTTTGAAATGTACTTACATGCATACACCAACAGTTAGTTCGCAGAATTTGTTTATTCTCATCCAAATCCAAAATTTGGAAAAGTTGTAATCCATAACGAACATCAACTTTAATTTTACTGTCATTTACTGGTCGTCCAATTATACCAAATTGTTCATATCGATTTAATAACATTCTGATAAGATCTTTCTCCACTGATTTAGTCTTCAGTACTGTTCAATAAAATCACGAGAGGATATTAATAATATCTAGAACATCATTTACTGGATATTAACTTTTTAAAAAAGTGGAGACCATATTTTTTGGAAATCAATTAGATTATACCTTATGGTTAATTGGCTGAAGACTTTAATCAACTAGTGTTCCATCATGGGGACTGAAAGAAATGGCATGTATGTATAAAGCAAAAAAAATATATGAAGAGATCACTCGAGATAATACAAAAACAAGACATCAGTTTCAATAGATTAGTCACAGAGTGTTCATGAAAACTGAAGATAGAAATTTAATGTGTTTTGCACAGAAGACATATTGTTTGTGCTCAGAAAGTAATTCCTAGGCATGCTAGTGGTTTTATTCATGTATAAAATTACAGACTATAATAAACCATTGAATACATGGTAGTTACATATTGCATAAGGATTAAATGCTAAGTTTCGTAGGGAAAATTTGCCCCAGTATATAAACAATATCTGGTCGTATATCACTACACTTTCTGACATTCTTTGACTATTCACTAAGAATGAGATACATTATGATGTCGCTTCATGGATTCTGATTTACCTCCCGATCATTTCTGACGTTCTATAAGATATAAATTGTATGCTATTGCAACACACTCATGGTTTATTTTCATAATGTATTTTAGCTTATTTATAAGTAAAGGCATGAAAACTATTAGTGACCACCACATAACTAACTACAACTGTGTATCATATTTGTTTGGATGAAGTATAAATTATCATACATTTTCTTAAATCATCCAAAACTGTTGTATCATGTATAAGTGTAGTATCAAAATATTTCAAGTCATCTTCACTAGTTCCAAATATTATCAGAATGAAAATTTGAAGAATTAACATAAAAAGAATGAAAGAAATAAAAAAAAGTAGTTAAAATAAGAAAATATAATATGAACATAAGGTTCACTCAACTTAACTATTTAATTACCCAGTTTATTTAGTTAAGTTATATGACTGTAACTATATACAGACTGAAAACAATGTTTATATTCGAATAAAATACGCAAGTTGTAAAACTTACAACGTTTATGAGGTATAGTCTTATAAAATTTCTAACTTAGTGTAAATTCATTTAGAGAGAGAGAAAGAAAGAAGGAAAGAAACTAGATCATCTACAATACCCTTTTTTAGAATTTTCTAATTTAACAGAAAAATAAATGTAGTCTACAATAAGAATTTAAGAATTCATTGGATAAATTTTATCTGATTCTAATATGTTTAGTATTTACTGTATTTATATGAGTAGACTGTGATAAACTCAACTGAGCATATTTTTTTTCGCAAATAATCTTAAATTATGCAGAAGTTATTAAAACACGACCACACATATGTACACGTATATATACAACACTTTAGCTTTAAAATAATGTTAGAAATCACCTTCTACCCTGGTTGTATAGTTATCTAGTTGAATAGAAACAGATGAGATGTGTTTCTGATTTTCCTAAACTAAATGGCTTTGATATTCCAGATATTGGCGTTTGTACGTGTTTTTGTTAACCCCCTCTCAATATCATTTTGTTAGCCTTTATTAACTATGACTGAATATCTTAGCACTAGACTATTCAATGTAAATATTTACTGTGAGTTTGCTATTTATAGCTCATGTATGACGTAAAGAATATTTTTTTTAACTAAATAGTCTCTAAATTGTACCAAACTAACAAACTGATTTTAATAGTTATGCTAAAATCGCTAAATGAGGGACTGAAAAGTAACTCTAAGAACCTAATAATGTCAGTGATGTTGGAACTTCGGTTTTTCACTAGTAATATTCATTCCACCACAGATTAATAAAAAAGAAATGTGAAGTTACTACTGGGTTAATTTTCAATCAGCAATAACTAATGAAAAGACTGAAGTAACTCTTTATTTTGTGACTGATTCTCTGTACAACTTTGACTGTAACTAATATTTCTGCTCTATAGATTAAGATAAAAGATGAATTTGAATACTGATAAGAAACAGAATTGTGATATATCAGTCTAAGATTCAAAATAGTCATCCTTTCTCAATAAAATTAAAGTTGACTAACTCTAATCTAGTTTTTCACTAATATAACTAAATATGAATTAATTCGTTTTGTATTGTTTGTTTTAATCTTCCCATTGATATGTTAAGACTGTAATTGTTCAGTCTCTTATCGCCACATGAATTAGTTCTAAAACTCTGGTTTCGGTAAGTAACAAAATATCTGTAACTTAGAGTGAATATGTTTTAATAAAATTATGAAATAACATCTGAATTTAATAAAAACTGTATATTAAATATGCACTAATCAATTGACTTGTGTTTCATGATACTAACAAATATCTTTTGGATAAGATGTACTTCCTATGGTTTTATTACTCTTTAGTATGTATCTAAACAAGAGTATCAAAATATACTTAAAGCTTATATATTTATGATAGCTTCATGCTTTAAACAAAAGGATACTCAGCTACATTAGTCCACACTGGTTTTAGGCGAAAAAAATATTAATATCATAGACATTCAAACTGAGATTAATAGTTGAATGTCAAAATACAAACTTGAACCTAGATAATTATCTGCATGCTGTTTACAAAACAGCTCTCGAGTATAAATTATAGTGTAATATTACTGTAGTCTATGTGAGAGAAATTAAGGAATGCAAAATCATGTCTATACTAAGGATCGAAATACAACACCTTCAAATCTTGGAGCGATCACAGTACACTTATGAAATTAAATCACAACTCAGCGGTCTATATTTATAACTTCTATCGGTTTATAATATAACGTGATTCCGATTGATAAATAATTATATCTCCTTACACTTTGTTCATTCTACGATTTGTGGTTTCTCAGTAGAATCTAGCCTAAAACTGGTAACTAGTGAATACATAATAATTATCAAATTTGGTAATCCATAGAGATTAGTTCATTATTATAAAAGAATGAGAACAATCTCAACTGATTATCAATGATGCCACAGTTAGTATCACCACTGGCTTACTTACTTACGCCTGTTACTCCTAATGAAGCATAGGCCGCCGACCAGCATTCTCCAACCCATTCTGTCCTGGGCCTTCTTTTCTAATTCCATCCAATTCTTGTTCACTTTTCTCATGTTTATCTCCATCTCTTGGTGTAATGTGTTCTATGGTCTTCCACTTTTCCTTCGGCTTTCAGGATTCCATGTGAGGGCTTGAATTGTGACACAGTTGGGTGCTTTCCTCAATGTGTGTCCTATCCACTTCCAGCACTTCTTCCTGATTTCTTCCTACTCCGGGATCTGCTTTGTTCTCTCCCACAGTACGTTGTTGCTAATAGTGTCTGGCCAACGGACCTGAAGTATTTTGCGTAGACGGCTGTTAATAAACACTTGTATCTTCTGGATGACGTCTTTCGTAGTTCTCCAGGTTTCCACCACAGTAGACAGTAGAACTGTTTTGACATTTGTATTGAAAATACTGACCTTGGTGTTGGTTGACAGTTGTTTTGAGTTCCAGATATTGTTCAATTGTAAATATGCTGCTCTTGCTTTACCGATCCGCGCTTTCACATCTGCGTCAGATCCACCATGTTCATCAATGATGCTGCCCAGATATGTAAGGGTTTTTACATCTTCCAAATCTTCTCCGTCAAGTGTGATTGGGTTGTTTTATGCTGTGTTATATCGGAGAATCTTGCTTTTCGCTTTGTGTATATTGAGACCTACTGGTGTTTAGGCTGCTGCCACACTGTTCGTCTTCTCCTGCATTTGCTATTGTACAGTTAGTATCAGAGTTTGATAAAATCTATTTTTAATTTGAACCTTAATACTGCAAAGCTTTCAGTTAAATGCTCAATTGTCAACTGATATTTTTGACCCTTTTCCATTTAATATACTTCTCCAATTAATTTGTTCTGTTTAAATCTATAACAGGCTTACTTATGAAGTGTATATTTTCCACATTTTTAGACAACGAGACAGCACAAAAGTATTTCTAATTTTCTGTAAGTAATCCCATCAAAGCATTTGTTCAAATAAGTTATTCACGGAAGTTATAACTTGAGTTGTTTTTGTAAAACTGAACAATTTAAGCTATTCTAATATGTTAAATCTAATCATTCAACGTGCGAATAATCATTAGCTCTATTTTAACATTAAAACAAAGCAAAGACGATAATCTACTACGCAAAGATAGAGTATTCTGTAATATTTCTAGCGGTATGTAATGCAGTAAAATAGCGCAGTAATTAATGTAATTCTTGAAAATCTTAAAATTACTCTTACACTTAAACTATAGGCTCATGCTCATAACTTGATTTTCCTTTCAAGAAAAAGACGATTATCCGATAAAAGAACTAATATGTGATTGCACACTTTTTCAAGCTCTTTAATCTCTTAGCTAACTAAGAACTGCATTCATCATACATATTCAGTCTTACTATTTATTTACTTAGTCATTTAAATCAAGCCTCATAAGTTTTTCTACTGTTCTGATAAATATTTAAGAACATTTTATTAAATATGATGTCTAACGGCAACATTCAAAACAACTGATCTATTTGATAACTTTGGAAAAGTTAGTTAGAAGACAAAGAAAATCCGGACTATGTGATATATTAGTGCAATACATTTCGAACAATCTCATCACACAATGACTTGTTAAAACAATGATATATAAAAACATAAAAGGTTAAGTTGACAAATAAAAAGCAAAGGCAAATAAAGGTGACAACGTGAAACCTTATGAAACATACCATGTTGAAAAATGTCTGCAATATATACGTTTCCTTTTACCTTTAATTTTGTATGGCCCACCTTATATTTATTCTTACTAAGTATATGTACGATCGGAATGTTCGAAATGCATTGCGCTCACCTATCTAAATAGTTCTAATAAGCTTCATCTTCTTAATACAACATTAATTTCAATATTTTAAGCTTTCATTTGCAGTTTGTAACATTTCACTGAGACATATTCACTCTAACTTCTGATCAACTTCATTTTTGTAAAGGGCAAGAACAAAGATTCTAGCAGAATAGCATAAATTCATTTTATTTTGTTAGTCCTCATCAGCTGCTTACAACTTGTAATATTTAAAATCATAATTACATAATTGGTTTAAATTACTTACATGAAAGGGTTTGGTTGGAAGTTCTATTGTAGTATAGGAAGGGTGTAAACAAATTTCATAGACTGAATATTATAAATATATACCTTATTTCAAAGAACAGTCTACAACATGGATTATGACAATAGTTCAAATGGCCAGAAACAAGTGATTACATAATATAAATAAATATTGATAGAAATTTATACGTATATTCTACTTAACTGGGAACTTTTAATACTGAAATATCATACCATTTTAACAATTAATGAAAAACAAATGGAATATACTAATCAAATTATTGATATTTATATTTCTAAAAAGAAAAACAAATTTAATCGTTTTGCATTTCAGAATTATTTACACGTTTCTAAGGATACAAAAAATCTTGAAAATTCACAAAGCAGCTAACTAACTTTTAAACTTTTGAAAAAAAGTGATTCAAATTTATAAAAAAAGACCCTATAAAGAATCTCATCATTTTAATAAAAAGACAGTTATATATATGAGCACAACAATAAAATAAAAATTTAAACACACACATACTACTTAATAATATTGAAATCATGAATCAATTGAAGCTAGACCACCATGAAAAACCTGGGAGCACTGGACGACCGTTTCGTCCTAGTATTGGACTCCTCAGCAGTGTACATCTACGATCCCGCACCCCGCAAGATTTGAATACAGGACCCATCAGTCTTGCGCCAGGCGCTTAACCAACTAAACTACTGTACTTAATAATAATAATAATAATAATAATAATAATATATTTTCAAAAAGTATTGTAAATTAAAATTATTTTTATTGTTTTTACCTTTAGGATGACCTTTAGGAGCAACTGCTACAACTTGTAATAATCCATAATAAACAATAATAATAATGATAAAAAGAATCGATAAAGTAAAACAAAGATTTTGGTTCATTTCTATGAAATGTAATTTCAATATTCTTTTAAATTTAAATCAAATTTATATTTATATATACATATATGTTGATAAAAAGATGGAAAAAATACGATAAATTTATTATTATTATTATTCAAGCCTGTGTCTCTCTTCCATCTGTCTATCTATAACAAAATAGCTCCTCCAATTTTTCACAGCCACATATTCATCTATACACTTCTAAAGGGGAAAAACCATTATTGATCTAATTTATTGAATTTTAACTGGTTAAAGAAATTTTCCTAGACATATACATAAATGAATAGGATACACGTTAAAATGATAAACTATTTGACTAGAAGGTGTTGTTATTTTTATTTTAAAATGCAAAGGACTCCTTAATCTCCGTCACAAAAAAAACCAAAAAAAGAAAGCAAAACAATAAATCATTATAAAATGTGAAAGCAATGACTTATTTATCCATTATTTCTGTACAAAATTATTTAAGTTCTATAAGCTGAAGAGTCCCAAATAGGACGAAACGCGCGTCCTGGATTCCACTGCTAGCCATTATCCACCACTACTTACAAACAGTTTGTGAATTAAGGTAATATCGAGGCATGCGCACAATATGCACATATGCCAATAACAGACTGATCAATTTCAGTCTTAAACCTCAATGGGAAGATACAAGCCAAATAATACCAAGGATTTATTTGGGTTTAGAATTATACACAAAAATATACAACATAGTAAGACAGAATGTTACAAAAGTTGTACAAAACATGAAATTACATATATTTCCCTTGAAACTAGCAATTCTACTAACTGGTATGCATAAGTTTTATTTATCATTTAAAGTGTTCTCATTTGTTTCTAGACGACAAGCATTATTGACCAATGAAATCTTATTACTTATCTTAAAATCTAACTAAAATGAAACATATAATTGAAAGAACTAAATAAGATGTTTTATTGATCATAGTTTTCTACTATCGAATCGTTAAACATTATTTACTTGTTACCAACTGCCTTATACCTTAGGGATCGAAAAGTCAAAACACTCATAATATATGATATTTTCTTTATTGGCACATTTTAAATACAATTGCCAACCCTTACTGATTAATTTTGTCAATTTGTGTCACTTAACTATTTTCTTTAAAGAAAATAATTTCCGTTAATTCAATTATATTTTGTAAGTTTATACATATGTCTTACTTTAAAAAAAACAAGCGAATTTTTAATAATTGGTTAATTATGCTGAGTTCGACATGATTAATAAAATGTATGATACAAGCAGATTCATTTGAATAAAAACTATTTTTATTTAGGATTTTATGAGTACCCATCTTTAGTAGTCAAAACTCGCTACATTGTCATTGCATGAATGTCTCTGTTAAATTTATATAGAGTTATGGAAGTCTGTTGCCAATATGATTCCTATCGTCATGATATTATGTTCATTAAGATCATGAAACGATCAAAGTTATACTCGTAATGAAAACCTTGAAGTACTGAACGGCCGTTTCGACCCACTATGGTACTTTTCAGCAGTGTGCATCCACGATTCCACACGGAGTTCTTAAACACTGGACCTTTGGTCTCGCGTGAATGCTGAACCAAAATTCAACGGTATTGATGTTAATGGTGGTCTAACATTGATCGGTTCGTGATCTCAATAAAAATTTAAAAATCTCCATAACCCCATATTGATATTGTGTTCGGCCTGGAAAATATTAATTCTGTTCACTTCCGCTTACAGTGATCACAGAATGTAACTGAAGTATAATCCATATCGAAATTATTATACAAATTTATTTAGACACCTAACCAATAATTTCTGTTATGTATCAATATTATCAGTAATAATGAAAATGTAGAAGATGCTTACACTGAGTTTCGGCACGTATTATTCTATCTGGTTTGAATATAACTGCGTTCAATAAGTAACAATGAAGGCAATTACGAGTATAAAACGTTCAGTCTTATTACGATATCGCGATTCAAATATAACAAATAATTTAACAAAAAACAGTGAAAATTCCCATTTTGACATTTAGTAAAGAAAGAAGGAACCAATCGAGCGAAAAAATTTCTTTTCAGTTAGTCTTTCATTATGGCGCTACACTAATATATATATATGATTTACAATAATGAATTAATACTCGCCAAATAGATACTTTGCGTAATAATTATATGATGATATATCTATTATAAACTAACACTGAGTAACTGGAACAAAGTAATTATTTGAAAAGAAGGAACTAACAAAATATTTTGATGAATGGTCAGTAGTATAGTATTTAAGTAAGAATCAAGAAACGAATGTTGAGAATAAGTAAAATACAAAAAGTGGAAGAAATACGAAAATAGTTTATCAAAGTTCTTTTACAAACTCACCACTATACCGATGACTAAAGTAGCGAGAGTGGTTATACAAACTTCTTTTGGATGCAAAGGTTTGGTTTGTGAACATGGGTTGCAATGACTTTAGCAATATGCAAAAGACGAATTCGTAAACCATGCGGCGAATTTGATAAAATATGGTGGATAGCTTTATTCAATTCAACTTGATGACCTGTCTCCATCAAGTGAGCGAGAATAGGACTCTTAATCACTCTTACCTGTCCTTTGCTCAACCAAACGGATGGTATTCTGTTGTGTAATGACGGACTTGCAAAATTGTACGCCCTATATAACTGGCTCCACAGGAGCAGTTGAGTTGTTAAATACACATGGATGTGGCGAATTCAGACAATCTGTCTTTACTAACCGTTCTTATTATGGATCGCTGAAAAATTCCCACCATATTAAAACACAGATACATGAACGAAAAATATTTCTTTCAGAAACTTCTTCTATCCCTTAGGCAAAATTGTGATATCGATGAGCAGTGGAATCTAGTACCCATGTTTCGTTCTACCTAGGGCTCGATGGTTGAACTCTCTTCCACTTTAGTGTTGATGTATTTATTGGGACTGAACAATGGAATTCGGGTAAATCCAACTGACCGATCCCAAGCAGGAAAACCACGGGTCCGGGGTCCCACTACATGTCAATATCAAAAGCTTTGCCTACAAATACCTGAAACTTTATGTCAGTATCAAAGAAATCCTCTGAAGGTCGACATATACCAAAAGAGACTGATCGATTACTATCCATAACATTAATAACAGGAAGATTCAAATCCTTAAATGTGAAATACCATTGCGTCTTTATCATAATTTTGACGACATTAATCATTTTTACTGTAAATATTATGATCTATAGCGTACTGTCTTCTAGCTGATCAACAACCTAAGTAATCTATTCGGCAAGGCCAACACAAATAGGATTAAATTAACTTTTGGAAAATATCACAGATGAGTTTTAAGTAACAATCAGACGACTTTGATTTATATTTAGAACAAGAGCATATGATAAATTTAAACTAAGTATTCAAAATATTCCTTTTTCAAGCCTAGAAATGTTAACGAAGATATTTTGACATAAGTAAAAACATTTATGACGAACTAGTTGCATACAATTGATGGTGTAAAAAAATATTAAGAATGATAATCTTTACCAACAATAATAACTAAAGTGAAGAAGTACTGACAGAAACTGTTTGTTTGACTGACTGGATGAATGAACAAAACAAGACCTAAAGGGTACATCAGTTTTAGTAGTAAAGAACACTAGATAGCTGTTCCGTATTAGTACAAGACATGCAGTCTCCTAAGATGGTATTCCAGACAATTATGTTTTGTTAATTACTTTCAAGCCACTAAGTTGACATTTAACGGCTTCAGTCGTAATATTCTTAAACATTGTATAGTTCTGTGTGATTCTGACAAACAGAATTCCCAATCAATGAGACTACTTTATGTTTTGTTGAAAATGAACGCTAACTTCTTGTGTATTTATGCAAACTTTCAAGTAATCATTAGTTCATCCTTGTTTAGTGTGCAAGCCTAGTATACCATGATTAAAACATGAACATATGCATAAGTAGATAACAATAAAATCTTGACCATTTATCGTGATGTTTCATCAGTAATGAAACTAGATAACACTTAATGTACTGATACAGAAATAACTAAATATCTAGCCAAATGTTTCACATACCAATATGTCATCGACTTTTTAATGGGTCAGATATCTTCTTTGAACTTTCGTTCGATCAAATGAAGCATAACCTTTTTATAATACTTATAAGATTATTCTTCTAATGATGAGCGGCAAATAGAAATGATTGATAGAATGTCACGGTAATTTAAATCAGTTACAAATGTGATAGCAACATATCTGTTTGTTAGCTTTTAGTGAATAGTTAGCTCAAAGAAAGATATTTTTGACTAAAAAGTAACCATACATTTAATAGAAGTTTTAAGTTATAAATAAATAAGAATTTTTAAGTGATTTATTATACCTCTGTAACTTTCAAGGACAAAATTAAATGACCACTTTTAATTTGTGATAGAAATCAATTATAAAAAAAGTAGTTCATTTTTGTTTATGACTGTGAGATGGTGACTGACATTGTACATGTTTATAATAAACATTTTCTAGGTTGATTTTTTAGCAAGATGACACGTCATCACAATCCACAAATTTGTTATGGTACATTATAATTGATTTAGAAGAAGTAAAATAAAATCCAAGTAGTTTGATACTGTCTAGTTTCTTTACATCATTACAATATCCTCAAGAAAAATAGATATTTCAATCTTATTCAGTTTTAAACGAGTTAATTTTGGGATTTTTCCCAAATGATTAATATTTTCATCAGAATGGGTTTTGTGGAGATTTTATAAATTTCACTGGTTGGAATCATGAGTCAATTAAAGCTAGACCATCATAGAAAGCCTGGAAACACTGAATGGCCGTTTCGTCCTAGTGTGGGACTCCTCAGCAGCGCGCATCCGCGGTCCCGCACCCCGCGAGATTCGAACCCAGGACCTATCAGTCTCGCACCAGGCGCTTAAACAACTAGACCACCGAGCCGGCATCCAATGGTGTTAATGTCTAACTTCAACCAATCCATGAAGTTGCAC